ACTCGAGCGGAGAAACGATGGAAGAAACTTGCCCGGGGTTGTCACGAAGAAGAATTTCATAAGGGACAAGCTGCCACCGGTATAACCATGCCTCCCCTCCCGCCGCGGGGCGGAGTCTCGCCCGGATGTCCTCGCTCCGCGTGACCGTGTCCGCCTCGGAGTAGATCACCGCCGTGGGCACCTACGGAGGACAGGCGGCGGGACGTGTCGGCGACGCGTCCGTCTCTCCCCGAGCGCGTCCGCCGGAGTCGGCGCCGCGAGCGGCGACGAGAAGCCGGCGCCGAATGCCTTGCCGTGCATCGCGTCGCTCGAGGCCTGCATGGCCGGGCGGGAGGAGGGCAAGAGGCTCGCACACGCCGCCATCAGCGTGATTACACGAGCTGCGAACGGCGCCTCTCCTCCAACCATGAGCACGTGGTGCGGCGGATCGGCTTGCCGAGCTGACATCTCCTCTCCTCTCTCTGACGGGTGTCATAGGTAACAGGCCTGGTAGTACTGCCTCATCGGGCCGCTCGGAGAGAGGTACGCCTCGAGCGCACTCTGCAGCAGCCGCTGGCCCACCGTCCCCTCCGACCGGCCGGCGACACCGCCGTCCATAATGGCCCGGCTCAGCCCAAAGGGCACGCCGCTCGCGTCGACGGGGCTGTCCCAGACGGAGCCCTTGATGCGAGCCGCAAAGTCGGCGCCCTCTGCACCGCGACGGCCCAGCTCCGTCAAGAGGTTGCCGTACATAAAGGCGCCCGCCGAGAAGCCCTGCACCATTATGGGCCTCTCCCGCGTATCGGCCGCAGATAGGACGTCGGCGATACATTTCATCGTGCTTTCGCCACGCGAGACGGGCAGTGCGACATGTTGCGGCTTGAGGAGCAGCGCGATGACGTCGACGCCGCGGCGAGTGTAAAGGTCAGCGTACTTGCGCAACGCCCGCTCGCCGCAGCCGACCCAGCCGAGCAAGCAGGCGACCGGGGTTCGCCCGGCCGGCAGCGCTCGCTGGGCCCGCTCCTTTGTCGAGTCGCGGCCGGCTGGCAGAAAGATGGTGTGCGGCGGGAGTGAGTGCGCTGCTCGTGAGCAGACGAGGCGATCCCAGACTGTCCGAGTTATCTGGCGTCGTCGGCCCAGCAGCATCGTTGCGGGCGTGAGCGAGAGAGGAATGAGATCGAGGGCTCTGCTGTGAGCGCTGTTCCAGGGTGTTCTGTGAGAGAGGCTTGTATCTTAAAGGCCAAGGTGGGCCCTATTGAAAAGACCCCGATTTTGAGGGGTGTCGGACAAGCTAAGCTCAAGCGCGCTGTCGCTGCCCGAGTTGCGGTCACGTCCCCGAAATCTTCGCCGGCCCCGCCAGCTTGACCGACTGGACCGCGGAGAGGCTGGGCTTGGCCGGCGGCGCGACGCGTGGCCTCTGCTGCGGCCATCTCGGACGCTCAAGCGGCGCCAGCCAGCGGCTCGGCCGCGCATCCTTCACACACGCCGCCACGACCAAGCTGAGCGGGCCCGGTGTCGAGTCATGGTGCGAGATGCATGTCAGGGGCGGCTGTGGCCACAGCAGGTCCACCAGACGGGCGTCAAAGCTTGCCGTCGGCATGCTGTAGTGGCGAGAGCCGAGACCGCTGCAGAGGAGCCGAGTGCAGTGGCGAGCCAGAGGCTACCAGGGTCACCAGGTGGTAGCCCTTGCCCATTCTGAGCAGGGATGTGCTTTGATGGGGTTGTGCTTGAGCGTGTGTGAAGTGGGAGTGCGTGCCGGCGGTGTCTGTGGCTGAAACGGGCGTGTGTGAGGCTGCAGAGCCGTGGTATGAGCCAGAGTGAGCTTCATCACCCAAGATAAGTGCGGTTTGGGACGGCTCAGACTTGCTGCTGATGGGCCTGGGCCAGGAGAGCGACAGAGAAGGCGAGGTGGTGAGCTGGGAAGCCGCTTTGTCGGCACCTGGACGTGTCGCGATGAAGTGCCAAAAAGTACTATTTGCGGCTATTGCTCCAAACTTCGGGAGACAAGGCCTACATATTATGACTGCATCCATGAGCCTAGTGCATGAGGGCTGTGGGTCGGGACATTTCACAGTCGATGGCGCCGATAATGACCTCCGTAATGCCCTCGCAATCGGCTCGGATGGGGTCCACCGGGGACAATCTCGGAGCCCTCTCCGTGGCATCACGAGCCGGTGTGAGCTTGAAGACCCGAGGTAAGTGCGGTTTGGGACAGTTCAGACCTGATACTGATGGGCCTGGGCCAGGAGAGCGACAGAGAAGGCGAGGTGGTGAGCTGAGAGGCTGGAGAGTCCGCGTGTGACCTTGTCGCATAAAAGTGCCACGAAGCGC